CTTGGCATCAATTAAGTACGATATGATTCCATGTTCATGCGCTGCATGCTCCGGGAATAGAAAAATATCTACCCTTCTTATGTTCTCCCATTGTTCGGAAGTTCTGAATACGTTGATCCCTGGCTGAGACGAGGATTACCAGAAATTGAGCCCTCCCTCATTAATCTAGTCGTTGGATCATCGTCGGCGTCGGCGAACGTGACATTGAAACAATTAACTGCGGTTCAAAAAGCGATTCGAAGACTGTTGTTGCCATCGATTGCTCCGATCCGAAGGAGCACTTGTCGCTGAGAACCGACCCCTATTTCGCCTCGTAACAAACTGCTCGTGTCTGGAACGGATCAACCCGTTCCAGAAGATCAAAGCACGTCTGGCTCGGTCTAGTTCGTCTCACTTATGAACGGCGCATTGAGTACGAGGAAGCAATTAGCCCAGGTGTGTCCAGCCTGCGGCTGAGGCGAAAAAAATAATCGACGGACGGCCAGCACTTGCTCGAATTATTCAAGTAGCCTTTTCGGGGAATCGTGATAAATTTAACGCGCTGGATGCGATATTTTTTTTCAACTCACGGACGAACGCGTCTCGATAAATATTAGAGTTGAATGGGTGTTTTAAAGTCAATTCGTTTTGATGGTGAACAGCCCCAAAACAGTTGTAAAGTATTTCCACCATAAATCGACAATAGACGCATTATACAGTATACATATTTCCTGCGTTGCTTCATACAACACTAATGTCCGCCAATTGATTTTCTATGGTAATTTTAAATAAGCAATCATTAAAAAAATACAATTTATCGAGCGAAGTGGGAGACTTTTAGAAGCACCGCGACCTTCGAAGAATCATGGCACATCCTTAAAAAGAAAATAAATGATAGTACGAAAAAGTGTTAGTGTTAGGGCTTCAGAACTTGTATTCTGGCTCTCATATTTTATGCACCTTGGATTTCTTTTTTTTTTCAGCCGGTAGAGGAAAATGCACAAGACTATTATTCCACTCTATGTAATCATCCAAACATTTTCAGGTACCGTACCTTCCTCTTAAATGCTGTACTCCAGGCGGAAATAAGACGTAACTCGTATAAATCATTTTGTAAGCATGAATCATGAAATACTTAATCTGTCTACGGTGCAACATTGTGAAGACGAGCGCAAAGCCTTGGAAGAACGTTGTGTTTCCTTTTTTGGAGGGATGATTTACAGCGGACTAGAAAGCTTGTCATGTCATTGAATACGGGTTATTCTTGAGGGGCAACGATTGAGAAAAGAGCTTCATAATTTTGCAAGACTCGATGCACTTGATGTCATCATTCCACATCGAAGACGCAGGAATTTCCGTTGAAACAAAAAATAATGAAATGGTCGAAATCATGGCTGATCTCATACGCGGAATGTGGCTGGGCACGGCAGCTGTGCGGTCATTGAGTGAGATTATCTAATGCGGGGACGAGCGTAAGTGGAAAAATGTTGAGCACCCCAGCATTATTTCAACGAGACGAAAAGCCGAGAGATGAACAAATTAAGGCTCACGTCTTCCGGTCTGCGGAGAACCGGTAATGACAGAGATTTATGTGACCCCTTGGACCGGCAGCAAAACATCCACCGGAAAAGTAAGAGACAATCGATTTCAGCAATTAATCCAGTGACGGCAATCGGATCGGGCAATGGGAATGGGGCACCGACTGCGGTTCGTTTGCGATCGATTTCGGTCAAGGGTGCCACGCCAAAGCTTCTCCCAGCATGATACAAAACTAGGGAAAAAATGAATCACACCGCGCTCGAGATCCGAAGAGCGATAATTCAGAAGGACAATTATCAAGACAAAGATCTCCAGCTTGGCAGACGCTTAGCTACTTGATGATCCATTGCCAAGGAATGAGAGAAACCGGGACTTGCCCAAGGCAACCAGCGGAAACGGAGCCAGCAACGTTCCCCCCTGCACCATCAATTATTATTGAAAGGCGTAAAATACACTGGCATTATCCATTCTAGCTCTTATCCAAGAATGAATTTCCAAAATAAAAGAAAAACTTAGAAAGTAGAAATAATTCCATTTCTCAAAGAATGCTTGATCTTCTGTTTCTATAGCACGGATCATATGAATAGAAAAGATCCTCAGCCGAGCTATGTTCGATTATCTAATTAAAGTCATTTAGCCAATGAAATTCAAGATGCTGCATAATTGTCCTTACTTTGAGTCAAGTATTCGATACCTCGTGTCAATTTTTAAACTTGATGCGTGATGTGTATTTACAATACTGTAATTTCATTCCATGTTTGTTCATTTTTCATCAAATGGCCGCGGAGCTCGGAGAAGTGCAAACGGAGCCCTTAAAGACTCGGCGAAGAAGCTTGAAAAGTCCATCTTCGAAATTGAGGTCGAATACCAGTTTCCCAAAAAGTATCGAAGAGAATTTGGCCATGAGATGAACAGATTATTGGACTGTATTTTCGTTTTAGCGTGATTTGAATCTCCGACAGCCTAAAAAAGTCTTGACCAACGTAAACAAAAAGTGCTCGCGCTGATTTATGAATGCTGAATCCCCTTCAAACACGAATTGTTTATTCAAGTGAAGAAACTACGGCACAGTACTGGGCCTCATACATCTCGCTGACATCGATGAATTGGGAGGTTTGGGCAGTCGAAAAATCCTCGGCCTGTGCCTTGATTTTTCGCGCCGTGAAGATTAGATCATGTTCCTCCGGACCAATGAACGTGTGGGGACACATACGTTTTCCTCTAGAATCCTCATTCTAATGCAGACTGCGGCATTGCGGATTTATTGTGTCGGCTCGAATTTTATCCGGCAAGGGTCCCGACATTTTAAGTCAAGCTTTTAAGAGCCGCCATGATGCAACAACTGGCGTCGGACAAGATTCCGACACTTGCTTTTTATGTCGTCAAGAGTCATTTCGAGCGCATGATCGAGTATCGAGGATTTTATGGAGGGGATTAAACCATGAAGTACTTCACTTCATGCAGACGTCGGTTACCCCATCCTACCATTGTTTCACAGAATTTTAACTGTAACGTTGCGTTAAAAAGTCGCGACAATTGGAAAATTATGCAGTTCAGTGAGCGGAAGTGGTGGGCCGCTGAACGCGTCTGATGCAATTCGATGGATTCGTGAACCATTGAATAAAAACGAATGGAATCGCAGTCACATCCATGGGAGAAAGGATTCGATTTTTGCCGTTCATGAATTTCGCCGAGGACCCCAGATTAATCTCTATCAGATTGCATATTTTCGATGAAAAAGAACGATCTGCACCATACGTGAAATCAATGAGGGATTGTTTGTAATACAGTTTGTCCGAAACTCTAAATGAATTTCACTGGATACCGAGGTTTATGGATTACAGTATGATATTTTTGAGCCACTGCGGAAACAACCGCAATACTTTATGCTAAGCTCAAGTTCCTCCACGACGAATTTTCGACAATTTCAGCCGTGATTTGGGTAACTTTTCGCAAACAATTTCAGAAACTTTCTCAGATGGCGTCAATGAAGCCACAGCTTCAACGGTTCGAACCCATACACAGTATTTATATGCTGTGGCTTTCAGCTCTTAAAAGAAGATCTTAAAGTCAGTCTTCTAAACGGATACGGAGATTTTATTATTTTAAAACATTTGGTAGCACTTGCACTGTCAGAAAATGCATTGAACAAGCAGAGTTCAGAAGGCGAGCTATTGCCAAGAAACACTGGGGCGTACTTTCAAATTCCTGCTTTTTCTCTCTTACAACACGGGATAGCAAAACGTGGAAGTATTGTAATAAAATATTATTGTGCAGGTATTATACTCGTATCATTTCCAGTTCACCACCTGATAAGGGAAATGTAAGACTGAACCAACTTACGCACCTAAAAGAACTCTAGTAATCTAGTTGACGAGACCAACCGGTCTTTCTTCAATTACAAAAAACGAATGAGGAGAAATCTAAAAATGACTGGAGTTTCCTCTTCCTTGTATTAAATGCTGAAAAAATTAACCAAAGTATGCTACTTATTCATCGCGGAAATTACTTCGTCCATGAGAGTATGAAACTTACATCGCCGCATTCCGAAACGTAATTTTGAACTAAGACTGTCCCGAATGATAGTCATTTCATTTACGACTGTTATAAGAATTTTCTGAAGATATTGGATAATGGGAGGCTTCAAAACAGAATCAAATTACCGGTAATTTGTTGGGGGGGGGGGGGGGGCTTTTTGGAGAAGAAAATGCTGCTCATCATCCAACATCATCCAGCCATGTACGACATTCTGTATACGACATTTTTAAAAATTATCTCTCAACCTTCAACGAAGCAATAAGTTTTGATGGGATGGGATTCTGGGTTTAAAAAATGCGGTAATTATTCCATTACGCGAAAGGGTAATGATGATGGCGGATATAAAAGTCCAGACTGGATCTCGAGAGAATACACGCACTTCACTTCACGAATGATCGTAGATTCAGATTGATTCTGTCTGAATTCGACGACGATATCATAAATCTGCTTTAAAAGTTACCATCACGGATACGATCCGAACTTCGTTGCGATAAGTTCAGTGAATCGCTTTGTTCCAACATCCGACCGTAAAAATCGCTTCCGGTGCATCGGATCTCGGATCTCGCTTAACCTACTCATTTTTCATCTGCTTTGTAGGAATTTACATAGTGAGTTCACGGCGCATACCATGAAGGGGAAACAACATGTTGAATCCATAAATAAGTGGAGTAGCATTGCTCGTACAGTCGACAGCATTTCACTGAATATGCTCGAGGAAGGCCACAAATATTTTCAACGCAATCCCACGGAAACCTGTGAGGAAACGTAATTGAGAACGCAGTAGGGTACGGGTGGCTTTCACATAAATCAGTCAAGCCGCTTCATTTTAAAAACGAAGACGACACGAGAATAATTTCCAGAGACGACGGCTTGAAACGGTGCCGCGGAATAAAACCGAGTACATGGGGCTTGAGTAACGGTGCTACTAGCTGACAAGCGCTGAATTATATCGTGTCGAATATAGCAAGGTTTGACAGCAAAGGGATCGAACCGAAGGTTAGCATATCGCGACCCGGATTGGAATCTGGAATAGCTCTTTTGAGTCGATGACTGACGCGTACTTGCCAGGCCATGACGTGGACACTCTCCGGAAGAAGAAGGAAAATAATAATAAATCCGACTCTTACTCGGGAGCAGGGCGAATGAGATAAGCATCATGACACAGCGTCGGGAAATTTATCGACTGAACGGAACTGACCTGTACCACTGACAGCGCGGCACGGAAGATCCTCTCACGATATCACATGACAATGAACCGCGGCTCCTTTCCCACACGGACGAGCTGCTCGGACGGCGGCTGAACTGAGGCGGGACGGAATATCGCGAGCCGGCGAAGTTGCGCAGGCGGTGAGTGATCCTGGGCCCTGACGATCGATCTGTAATGGACGAAACACCCCGTTTCCAAACATTGCGAAATTCCTCGAGGCTTGGGCTACAGAGCACAGCTTTGTTTCCGTTAGCTGGCATTTCTGAAGCACCCGCGACGGCAATCCTTCAACCGCATGAAAATCAATCCACGCCTTACTATTTCACAATTATTGTACTCTTTTCGAACTCAGGTGACCACTTCTCTGAGCCCACGAAACTGCAAAAAGGGACGCTGCGCAACGCAGTTCTCTTTCGCGTGAATAAATTTCAAATCTACTCCGTTCTGAGCTTCTGGCCAAGTCATTGCCCCCCATGCGTTAAGAAAAAGACTTCTGACGATCGGACGTTTCAAAACACCCATTTTTCGCCATGTCAACTAGAGAGTTATTTTACCGCAATCAATTACAGTAGATTTTTTGCGTTTCGCAGGCTAGGAACATTTTATCAGTCACCTCTTCTTTCTTTCGCCATCTCAGCAAGAGAAATTTTTGAATTTAAATCGGATGTGGAAATGCTTTTAAAATTGATTAGGGAACGCGCAATGCAAGCCACCAAGGAAGTTTCTCCAGAAGAGTTATGCTTTAAAATACGCTCAATCATGAATCCAACTAACTAGGATTGATGAATGAATGAGCGACTGTAAATAGACAGTTGCATGATTATTTTTCGGCTTCGACTTATCTCTAGTACTGCTCATTTTCGTGATTGCTTGCTTGCAGCTCGCGAGCATTAACGTAAACCGGGCCTTCAAAGTTTCCAGAGGATTCACGAAAATTCCAGAAATGCGAACCAAAATTCAGAATTAAATTTAACAAGACACACGAAGAAGTAATAAGCGGAATAGATACGTTAAAAGTTGCATTAAAAACTCGAGCATATGCAAGTCGAGGACCGGACGTTTCAGTTTTGAGGAGTGAAAAATTTTTCGCGCCTTCATTACATGCCCTTATTGTAAAAAGGTTCTCATATTCCAATATGTTGAGAATCTCTCCATAAACGATCACGATCGATGAACCTTCCGCAGCGAAGAACTAAATCTTCGGAATGCCCCAGAACTAACATTATCGGTGCTTTTATAAACTGAGCATCCGATTGACCCGGCCGAAATTTTTATTCATCGAGGGGGAAAGAAACGGCATGCATCCGGTAATTTAAACTTGCGATAATTCACGGTGATATAAGGATCCCTATTACACATGCACTTCGATATTAGAGGGAATTTCGGGAATATTACGGAGGGCCCATCATTCATTATATGTCGTCCGGAGAGAGCAATTCTTCGAGGATTTTTTATCCGGAATTTTTTATTATCTGCATAATTGAAATTCTAGCGTACTGTAAATTCATCGCAAATCAACAACCTCTGGGAGTTTTTTAAATAAATAAAAATCTGCATTCACTCACTCAAAACGTCGAGTCTGGCAGAAGCTTGGGTCCTTCCGTAACTATTTTCGATCGTCACGCGATACAAACCGGCGTCTTCTTGACACACATCGAACACCTCTAGGATGCGCAAGTCCTTCCGGACGACCATGCGGTATTTGCGATCCGGGTCACGTGCGTCGTCCGCGTCCTCCTCGCCTTCCGATAGCCTAATTTTGACGTTGTCTTTATCCCATGTCACCTTGGGGAAGGGTTCCCCAGCGACAGTGCAGTAGAACGTCGCCGTGTCCCCTTCCTCTACGATTTTGTTGTGAGGCACCGCGTAGAACTTGGGCGGCAAGATCTTCTTGTCCTTGCATTCTGCTTGCCGCTCCAAGGATCCTCGGGAGCTCACGCCGTTCATCTTTCCGGAGTCGAGGCTGCTGAATCGGTCTGAAAATGTAGATTTAAAAAATTACGCACGTCGTACGCATGCTGCGTGGAGTATCGTCATGGCGACGAGCACAACACCCCGCAGAATTAAGGGGTCTCTTAGTTTATTGTTGATGCAGGGTGATCAAGTCCTCAAAAATATAAACATACAAGTGAGTTATCAACAAATGAAGAATTAAGTCGAAAATACTTGGGACCGAGAGAACAACGCTGGCATCATCAGGAAAATCTACTTTTTTTGCAAGAAAAAGGGGATGGAACTTCTTGGTACTGTATTATTAGGACGAGGAGTCGAGTCGTTACGGGACGGGACGGTGGACATGGGAGAATTGAGTGGCATCTTCTTTTTAATAAATATATTTTGCTGAAAAAGTATACATGAGGAACGAAAATCGTAGTATCTCCGGGAAAATGTTTCTTGCCTCTCTATCGTCGGTTGGATTATAACTGAATGAATCACACCATGATGAGCGCTGAAAGGACAAAAATGCTTAAAGTAGTTTTTTTTAGAGCACAAAAAACTTGGTTTCGTTGGGGTGATGTCAGGATTATTTCTCTGTTCGTTATACAAATCTCTCCTTTTTGACACGAAGCTAAAAAATAATGCAATATGTTCATAACTTCCCGATACATTCACATTTTGGTTACTCATTTATGCGTCGGTATTTTCTGATTTCGTTGGTATATCCTCATAAGATTTGCTGCGAAACTCTTCATTCCAGACACACACGTAATTTACAGCAGGACGCATTGGTTATTCCATTCGATTTATTCGCTTAACCAATTTCAACCCCGGTGAATCTTATTAACATTTGTTTTGGTACCTGGGTTGGCCTCATTCGAACCTTTGTAAATCTCCGATTCTCGAAATTTCAGAATAATTTCCACAAAAAATTCCAGTGAGCTTTCCGAAATGCATTCAAACTTGGAATTGTACATATTGAATTTTTGTTGCCTCATTCTTTGAACAAAAAGGGTTCCTTTGTCCTGAACAAGTTTCCTATAAAATTATTGGAATTCAGTAAGATTCTGCGAAATTTTGAAAATTATTTCCACATATCCAAGTGTTGCTTCCATGAATATTCATGCTCTTCATTTTTATGGATGTAGGAAAATGAATCTCGATCTTAACTGTCCTGTATTGCAACGAAGATTTATTTCTAGAAACTAGGCTGAACTTTTTGGAAGCAACCTGTTCACCAGATATCCGAAACTATTTAGGTTACACTGCAGTCTTCATTATATCATTTGTATTAATAAGCTGGCAATGGACTAGTTACTAGACTGAAGAAAACTTTAAAAATTTCCAAAATGAACACCAACACGTACGGTGGGTGCGTCAAAATATACTCCTTTGCATTACTCGTATGTTTTCAGGAAAATCTTTAGGTTTTGTCTGAATTTAGGCCGAAATTGCTTCATTAATTTCCAAATCTTTGTGATCAATCCGATTTTACCTCAGAACCCCTGTCCATGATTGGGTTGTGGTCGAGGTGAATGACAAGACGAAAGTTAGCCATCGTTCTGTTCTCCGTGATGGTATTAAAGCTGATGTTTCTTTCTTTGTGGATAATTCAAGAGTTTACGAAAACGTTTCTAGAAAACGAAAGCATGGGAATGAATCTACCAAATTTTCCATCGATGTGGAGTCTTTTCTCATTCATGCTCGATTCTAAAATGCATTTCTTCCACTAAATACTAACAACATATGTCTGTCCAACACAACGTGGTCGGACGTGGCTTATATATAGTAGCGTAAATACGGTACTGTATAACAATTTTTTTTCCAAAGTTCACAGGATTATCTGCAGAAAAGAATATGGCGTTCGAACAGGTTTGCCAGAATATGTTATGGATCATTATTCGGGCACCTCTGCATCATGATGAAATTATTCTAAAAATTCGAAATTACCGGATCTTCCAGATTGTCGATGATTACAACTATTCTAGCCCTCGCGTGCACTGAATGTGGTCCGGTTCATGCCATATCATGAAACTGAATGAAAATGTTCAGTAATTACATAATGATGATCTCATGCGCTGCTGTTACGGACAAAACACGACAGACGATACTTCAAACATTAAGTTAGACGAAAATAATCTCTGGTGCTCTTGCCATTCTTTCGAATCGTTTCTTTCTCGCCAGCTGAAGATCGCTGCGGTCTTTGCAGAGATTTTCCATCTGTAAACAACTGAAGATTACGATTGCAATTTTTGGTATGGATTTTTAGCTTTTGAGGTAAAGCGGGAATTTTTCTCAGCTTTAAATCGCATGCATCGTAATTTCGGGGGCGTTTCATTTTTAAAGGTGCTGAAGCAGGTTTAGGAAGTGAAATCCAGGGTAACGCTTAGAAAATGAACGCAAAAATTCAAAGGAAACGCAGATTTATTGACGCTCGTATGATGAATACGTTTGAATCGAAGAAACTTCATGCGATGGACAATTTAATTTTGCTAGATTCCTAAAAAGATGATCTATGATCCGTCGGGACGCGTATCTTCCGCAAAAGCAGCGATGTCGGCATGAACCGTGAACCACACAAAGGTTTAAACAATTGGGAGAAGTGACGAACCATCCGCTCGGCTCCGGAGCTGCGAAGTCTTCTCTCCAGTCGCGAAATGTGAAGCCGGTTTGGATCGCTCCACCTTGGTCGTCACGTCATTCTCCTTCTCCTCATGCACTGCAGGAGACGCGAAAGAAATGCGTCAGAGAACGAAGATACGAGTGAGGCCTCAAACAAGGAACGTCATTTGTTGGAATGAGTGGTTTGTTCATACGAGGCATTCCTTGTTGTTCGGGGCTATAGGTTTATCATGCAGATGTGTACGTATAGGGAATGAATAAACTTGCTTCAGGCAATTGCGCTAGAAGGGTGTTCTGTTATTGTTGTTTTCGTTGGCTCAGATAGAAATTCAGCCCGGATAAGAAAGAACGACAGAGCATGACGTTCCTTCGGGATGGAATTTTCGCCTTAATCTTTGCTTCTATGAGGGCACCTTGTATGGACTTTCATTCAACTTGACCTACTGTATTGTGCACATTACAAATCTTGAAGCTTTCTTCTCATTCCTTTTTAAATGATTCCATTCCGGTGACATTTTGCGTACACACGCATGATTTAGAACACTGTAAGCTATATATTTGACAAACACCAAACTGAAAATTCGACTCGATTTTAACCCTTTCCAAATTTTGAACTTGAAAAGTGCGGTCTTCGATCCTTACTGGAAACACTTGAAACGTTTGAGGCGATTCCTCGTGGAATCTAAAATTGCGGCAAACTATAGAAAGCTCGATTATAGATTGTTAGTCTCCTCTTTCGTCGTGGACAACTGGTTCATTTCTCAAAACGAGGTTCGTTGTTAGTCATTTTTCGGCCCAAACAGCGACTCTACGATCAGGACGATTATTGCTTGAGGCATTCGTTGCATGAGGCACCACTGCGCGCGGCGTGAATGGAGGGGGAACACAACAAGCAGGCCAGGGGGAACACGTGGGTGGGAAATTGATGAAGGTCGTCGCGGAACTCCCGATGGCGTTTACGGATGCAGGGCACACTCCATGTGATACGCATCGAAGACGCTCTATCAAGTCTCCGGCTTTCTCCGAGTACCGTGACGCACGACGCCGCACGGACGTGTGCCCGGGCGCGTTTCCAGAGCAGAGGACCTCCTGTGCGGGTCGCAGCGTGCGGAGATCGGCAGCGCCAATAAGAAATAGCTTCATTTCGCCGTTTCGAAAGCGCCACGCGACCGCGAGATTTACATCTCAATGCCGGCAGATTCCTTGGAATAAGCTCGGCTTGAAAAATGACTGCGGGTCCGCCCCGCCGGTGTTGCGAGAAATTGTCTCGTCCACCTGATGCTGCCCCCGTCGCCCTTTCGGGTCCGAAGATTCGGCGTCATTCCACCTCTTCCCCCCTCCCCTACGCTTTCCGTCATTTACTGATAATCCGTGTACCATCGCGACGGATACGAGTCATAATCATAAAATTGCATTAGTCATCAGGCTTATACTGCGGTGTCTTGCTGAATAAGCGCCACCCCTTGCAAATATAAAAAAAAAGCGGAACGGACTTCGTCTTGTACAACAGCCATGAAAGTTTGCATTCGCCCGCAATGTCGATTTAAAAAAAAATGTAATACCCCCCCCCCCCCCCCCCCCCCCCCCCCAATTCGCCCCCAATGTGGATTAAAAAAAATTTAATCCCCCCCCCCCCCCCCCAAACCGTGATATTTTTTCAAGGAACAGCGTTGACATTTTTTTCACATTGAGCCGGAGAAAAGCGGGCGACAAGAGATAGACTTTCATTCTGAAAGTTAAATTTTGATTGAAGTGGAGAGCAAAATCAGAGAATCAGAAGGGCTAAAAATTTGGAGGAGCATTACAATGCCAAGTAGAAGTATCGAAATGCGTTTGCATCTTATTTCCTTCGAATGCAGGCAATTTTTAATTTTTTTTTCAATATTCAATAGTTTACTTCTAGAAACGAATTAATAGATGTTGAATTGACCGTTCAGAAAAAAAAACAGACTCGCATATAACGAATGCCTCGCGGAACTACATCTGGAATAAATTAAGTCTGTTTCGGCGCCGCACCAGTGTATCGTACAGGTACTGCTTGAACGAATTAGGTTCACCGAAGTTCAGTTCAAGTCGCATTTTTGTCGCCGTATGCCCCCATATTGCTCCCTCGGACCCACAGATTCGGAGTCTTTCTCGCCCCCCCCCCCTTTTTTTATCATCATACACTGATCCGTGTACAATCGCGACAGAAACGACTCGCACGCAGTACTTTCGTCAACGCTGGTACTCCACGCTCTGTCAAAACATGCCATTACTCTTGAGAAAATTACGCGCTGCGCCTTCTGCGAGCCCCGAGACATGTAGTGAGCAAGCATTGCCGCAACCTCACGCTCCTCGAGGAACACTTAGGGGTGGCTGGAATAACGTCGCCAGGACTAACCTCGTCAAGCTGGAATAATGTCGTGGAGATTTAATTTCGTCAGGAATATCATCGTCAGGAATAACCTGAATAACCTCGTATTTTTCGAATTTTAGGTACTCCACGCTCTGTCAAAACATGCCATTACTCTTGAGAAAATTACGCGCTGCGCCTTCTGCGAGCCCCGAGACATGTAGTGAGCAAGCATTGCCGCAACCTCACGCTCCTCGAGGAACACTTAGCTTCCGTGACGAACTCCCGTGAAATTGCCAACCCGTAAAAATCATGACGGACCGGCAAGCACTCCTACAAGCATGCTGGGTTGCATCTCTTTTGGGATCAATCCCCAAAACCTTTCTTTCTGGTTGGGAAAAAGAGGAAGACGAAAAAAACGGAGGGGCAATTGTTCGAAATGCCAATTGACCGTGCGGACGAAGTATCCGGACTGCTTGTTCAACCGGTGAACATTGAATGCTTCGAAGCCCGCGGAACTGACTGAATTACCAATTCTCTTTCATAAAACATTGTTACTGTATCTTAACGGGAAAGAGCAGTTTGAAGATGCCCGTTGAATTCGGAGATTTTGTGTTCGTTCATTTCATTAAAACGTACGCCCAAAATGTGTTTCATACGTACTCAGTGTTTAAAGAAATATTTTAGTCCCAGTGTCAAGATCTAGTCGAAGCTAGAGAAATCGGAAGTTTAGAAATTTTCGGGGAATCCAATACATCGTACAAGTCTTTTTAAATAGCTGAGGCCAAACAAATGATTTTGCGTTGAGAATAAGAAAATTGGGCAATGCTGGTGGGATTTCGCTGAGAGAAATGAAAAACAAAGCACTGTTCATCGTTGGATTGTCTTCAAATGAATGCAATAACATTTAAAGCTTCATAAAATCACATCATTAATCTTAATCGAATGATCTTTCGAAATTTCAAGTTAGCCCTGAATAACTTTTAAAGACATTGGTAACTGTTGGGTGCAAAGCCTCAAGTCTGATTTTTGTTTCCAAATTTATATTGAATAAAAGTAATTCACTCAGCACTGCATGGGAAATAATCAATTTTCAACTATACTCTATGGAGATTTGCGACATTCGAACATCGATCGCGAACATCGATCGCGAACTTCATGGGGTTGTTTTTTGATTTTCCTACGAGGAAAGCCTATAATTTTGAACTCAAAATACAGTTCTTCGAGGACAAGCAGTACCAACGAAAGTATTCCGTACCGTTGATCCATAATTAAATTGCAAGTAATAACGGGGTTTTCTTCGAGGATCTCCAGTCACGCAGGATGTCGCAGCGATTAAGTTCAACTCAAGAAACAGCTGGACAGGGCCTCGATACTCACCAGCTTTCGGCAGAGAAGCGTGTGGCATTGTATCGGAGTCATGTGCGGATGCAATATCGTTCATTCAAGACGCCAAGCAATTAGCGACATTCGCTCAAGATATTGTACTCTTTTTTTTTTTTTGGTACGGAGCCTGGGAAAATTGAACAATGGATGGATTTCTAACGCTGCTTCATCAATCTGGTCCTCAAGCCACGACAGTGCGATAATTAGCTGGATGAGATTGAGTGACAATGGAGGACAGCATTTTTAGGCAATTTCCCCACCGAGGGCGTCTTCAGTCACGACCAACAGCGACGACATGACGCACGCATCATCATTCATAACGTATTTACGATGACGAAGGCGACGTGGCGCCTCGATCGCGAATTCACCGACTGAAATTCCCCGGTCACGGTCCATGCGACTTTCCTCGAGCCATTGTTGAGCATTCGGTCCAGGTTAGAACCTGACACGGCACGCGCAGGCGTGAGGAGCATGCAAGTCGAGATCGATCATCCTCACGTTGCACCGAGACAGATTTCACACTCGGGGAAGACGGGCACCATCCGACTCATTAGCAAACACGGCAAGTCGTGAGAGGACTAGAAGAGGTTAGGGACCGAAGTCCTCGCTTTCACAGGCTCGTTCGTTCATGCACGGTTTCACCACGTCTAGCGCAAGCTGGACAAACTCACCGCGACCCACGTACAAATTGGCACGCGTCATCGCCTTGCCGATTTCGTTGGCCGCGACGCAGGCGTACAGCCCCTCGTCTTCCGCGTACACCCGGTTCAGGTGCAATCGCACAGATTGCCCCTCGGTCTCATACCTGAAGTCTTTCGAGTCCAGGATAACCTTCGTGGCCGAGAGGCAACACAACACAACTCGGTTCATGAGGATCAGATCATAGACATCCACTCGTATTTACTCGAATATCAGACGCCAATCCCCACTCAAATATTCGCGTCTAGGGCGCGTCTTACTTTTGGAAGGGTCAAAGGACAAGGTTGCGGCTAAAAACACATTTTTTATAATAATAACAAGGCCCGAAGATCCAATTACCGTAGTTACGCAAATAAAAAAACGCAATTTTTGAAAAAAAAATTGGCTGAAAGTGAGAAGTGTGCGTCGTATGTTGCTAGTATGTATCTCAAAATCGCACGGGAAGTACATGAGTTATTTCGACCGATACAGCGTTTCGAGCAAAAGTCTAGTTCTCAATTCACCGCGGCTTATCATTCTTCACCACGAAAAATGCGACAAATTCATCATTCTTTAAATTTTCATTTCGAGGGCACGATACTTAGAACATATACAGTATTTCTGTCAGTATAAAGAGCTGATAATAAAGGCGCGAAGAGAATCAACAAACTCCCGTTTTCTGAAAAAAATGAAACGTTATGATGAAAGTGCTTTTCATACTTGCGGTGCATTTTTTGAGGTTCCAAAGAATTCTTCTCGCATATAAGTAAAATGGTCAAGGAAAGAAGAGTGAGAATTATGATTCATGTTTGAAGTGCTCATAGAGATTATGCTGGAGTTTGAAGTACTGAATGATGATGGGCGAAACAAACCTGAATCAAACTAGAAATTGCATGGAATAAAATTGCATCGTCATACTCGTATAATTGCCGGAGAAATCGTTTCCGATTTTGAGACGAGAATAATTTAGGTGCATTTTTTTATGCAATCGATTGCGTCTCATACGTCGAGTAAATGTGAGCGAGCAACCCCGGGTCTTACCATGCCGTCTTTGGTCCAAGTGATTCTCGGACTGGGTTTCCCACGGACACGACATTCGAACGAAGCTGAATCACCGTCGCAGCAGCGGATGTCTTTCAGGCCCTCTAGAATTTGCGGCGAGCTGTCGACCGGGCTACAAGAAACAGCGCCCGCAAACAAGGAATTCATTCCAGTGGCGCCACGTTCTCTGTTTTAAGCCGCGAGTCGCGTTCGGATTCGTATTTCCCTACGCATGTGGCACTGACTAATGACCCCCTATTCGGACACGAACACGAAAGGACCAGGCGCATCTGGGTCGGATCGCCATAAACCGCGTTTCCTTGTTGGCACCAGGGGTCCGAGTTGTGATATTCCAAAATCAGACGGCGTGAAATGACAAAGAAACACCGCGAGCAGGTGGGTCATGAATCCACGGGGTTAGGTCATCAGCAGGGAGCCGAACGGGTGGTACAACGATTTAAAAGCCCATTCATTTTCTCTCTCGTTTCCACGATTTCCTTCTACGGAAGGGTACACTATCTCGGAAAAACCCCGTCGTCCATTTCAAGTGACACCTGAACTCTCCACGAAGCCCTCGCGAACAAACCAATTTACTTGGAAGAAACTCATCCAGCTCTGACACGTTAGGCAATGCCATGTGATCCATGCAGCTGCTTGCCCGTAAATCAGAGGTTTTCATTACCTACGACAGAAAGTGCACTAACGACGGCGTACAAAGTGTACCATCTACCTACCATATTTACTCCGAAATGAGGGGCATTTTAAATCATTTTTATACGTACGATGAGTCTTGTATTTATTGGAGCTTTGATTTGCCGATAAGGGACGCAAGCCTTGAAATCCAATTCAAAGAACTCATCCTCACAATTGGTGTCAGTTCAAGGGATATCGACCATTAAAATCCCCAGTTTTGTGGAATTCTTTGAGTAAGAATAAGCTGTTAGTAAAGGGTGAAGAATAAACATGAAGTAAAGTCGAGAAGGACGAGAATTTTACATTTCTATGAAAGCCCAACATTAGTGCCAGGTTTGAATCGCATTTGGAACTCTGCCGTATGACAAGAAGCTCTGTCACATGCATTGATCGACCAAGGTGTGAGAGCTTCTGGTGTAAACTTTAAAGGAAACCCAAAGGAAAACGAACTGCTCTTTCTCTGGTCTCGTAAAAATATTTTCAAATTTTTCGGACAGTCATTTCAGCGAATAAATTTGAGGAATACGTGAGAAAAATTCTGCTTTGGGAAGGAGCAATTCCTCACAGCAGGTCGTTATCAGAAGACAACTAACAACTGTCAAAAATTATTTCTTTGGAATCAGTGGATGTTCTCAGGTGGACTCAAAGCATTCTAACGAAGTGAACACCGCGACAGCTCGCATGACGTTCTCGGCGTGGGTCAGGAATTAAGCTACAGTCTTTGGACATGACATCTTCCTTTTTATAAGACGCCTCGTTGCCGCCAAGTTACTGCATGGACAGAGACAAGGGTGTTTCCGTGAACCCACGGAATATCAATCAGACCCGAAGACATAAAAACGAATCGGTTCGGGCCCACCCATGAGATGATTAACTGCGCTTCATGATTGACTAGACACCGATGAGGAGATATCGAATCGCAGGCTGCCGTAATGCAGGACGATTCGTTCAATACAGCAATAGCAAAGCGGGCTTCATGCATGTGGGACGAATTCGGGCTACGGCGCGGTAGGTCCGCGATTGACAACGTCGTGCCGACAAAAGAAAGCTCAGGAGAAGCCCGCGGGTAAAACCAATCAAAATTCTGATAAAGGTTTTAAAATAATAGTCATAATAATAATAAACCAATAAAATAACGAGACTTACCCGAATCGGGTACAGAGCTCCTCCATGTGGCCATCCGCTCTTTGTCCTGCGGAAAAAAAAAGAAAGAGGAAATCTCTTCATCTCGACATGGGCAAAGGGCAAGGCGATAAGCGGTCTTGGGATTTGCGAAATCTGCCTTTGCGAATTACTCGGTTGCAGAATATTCCCCGGTCATAAACCGGGGTCCGGGGACATAATAAGAGGTTCGCGTCTGTACTTGCAGCACACCAAAGGAATCACGTCTCGTCCTCACGCTAGAAAATCATCAGTACAGCGGACAACTTGGGACTTGGGCATTCACCAACTGTTTGGGCCGAATTCGAAAAATTTGCAATAGCTTTTTGTTAATTTCTCAGCAGCGAACTGATTCGAGAGCTATCTCTCAATTACAAGGGGGCGCATGATTTCCACACACAGTTGAGAAAATATACCAGCAGTTTTTAAGATTATCGTTTGATTTTTTATTTATATTGCAATATTTTTCCAATAATATCAACTAGTTTCTTCGCTGTATCGCTTCAAGAATTCTAGTTTTCTACATATGCTAATTTGGATTCTGTCATAAGTACAGTAATGTGTTTTACTTGAGATCACCAGCAATCTTCTGAATCTTTGATGAAACTTGCAATTCACCGATGATTCTGACACATCTCCGCAGAGCCTTAATGTGAATATTAAAGATTGATACTTTTCAAGATATCAGGAAGTTCATCGCTCAGTAAAAAAGTCAAGTATCTGTGTTGAAGGTAATGACGGATGAACAGGTGATTTTTTCCCCCGTCATCAGCAGCAACAGATTAGGATGGCTGGTAAGTTAATAGCAATCGAAAGTTAGGAAATTATCACAGTACAAAACCTCTCAATGACTTTTCCTGTACTCAAATGCCGTACTTCGAAGTGAATTGCTTCGCACAGAAGTGGGGAAAATCGAACTGAGCGCGGAAGTCAGACAGCCCTCCATCTGGCACAACAACTTTTGTGCTTTGCGATTCGATGAATTTTAATCATAAAATCTAACGCAGCTAATGGTGATCCGGAGGTTTAAACGAGGACAATATAAGCAGGAGGGGTTACGCTCAAGGACTGAACAGGTAAGCAAATGAGCACCTGCACAATTCCGTACTTATGGGCGAAGCTAAAATGAAGAACGGCTTCGCCTATTACAGGTAAATATTTACCATCGAGCGTGGCCGGACCAGTTTCGAGACCCAGCTGCAGTTCTACAGCTTTCCGAGATAATTAATTGACTTCTAAAAATGTTTATGAATATCCTAGCAACGTAAACCGAAGATATGTCTAAAAGGCTTTTTCCCAAGCGACCGAACCACATGAAAAGTGTTGTCTTTCGCAGGCAAAATTTTTTTTTCGTGCATCCTGCAATCGTAGTTCGCGGCGATCATCATCCAAAAATTCAGAGGAGGTAATTGTTTTGTCGAGGGGATTTTGCAACCTTCTTGAACACCAGACGACATGCAAGTGAGTTCCGCAGGCGTAGCCCCCGGGACAAAGCGAAATTGGTTCCTTCCCCGCAAGTGCGCGAAGATTCTTCGATAGACATTGAAATGCCCTCACTTCATCGAAGCGAATCTAGTCCATTCCGAAGAAATTACCTTGCATTCCCGGAGGATTTTTTTTCTTCTTATCTTTTTTCCTTTATATTGAATATTTGATAGATATCCTTCGTGCAAGGAGAGCATCCTGAAGTTTTTCAGTGAGAGTTTGACGGGCATGTTCGAACAAGCTTCATTCCTTGTTAAGATTGACCGGATTCATATAAGCGATACTTCCGAATTTTATGAGCATCGCCTTATGCAATTTGGGATACGAGCTGCGAATTTTTATTTTATAATTGAAGATAAACATCAAATAAATCCGTCGGACTCAGAACTTCATCGCTATTTCTTCTGAGGTTTCCCTTTATTCACTGAAGTGTTTTACCGACTCGGAGGTCCAGTGAATTCAAAAGAAAGCTTCTTTTGAATACTGTACGGTACTGTATTCATAAACCGGTGAACACGATTTTCTCTCCGTTTTCGGAGAGAGCGTAAATGCTATTATCGTGTTGGCTAATTCAAGCTTGGAAATTCCCTTGTCTGTATGATGGAATACAGTCTTGGGGAAAAAACGCAATTATTATCCTTGAAGATTAACAAAAGCGTCTTCGGGAAACAAAGCCCATGAAACGAACGTTACGAGCTCGCATTATTTCTCCAATTCCGAAGTTTTGAAAGGGTTTCGGAGTACATCGAGGAAGCATTCCTCACGATTTTGATGCTCACGTAAGCGTTATCCAAGAGACCCCACAAAACAAGCTTTTCATTGAACAACGACCTGATATCAATCGAGGTACGGAAGAGGATCCCACATGAAAAAAATTCTACCGTGCCTGAATCATTAAATTTCTGAGAAGGATTGGTATACCACTTTCCGGTATGTGGAATATTTACTCATTATTTAAGGGCATGTACTTCAGCTTAATTTGGGGACCCGTGGAGACCATGAGAAATAACATGATCTGCAGTTTCAAAGCTTTAAATAGAAAAACGCTATATTTGAAGCTCCATGAATCAAGAAAGCAATATTTTTAATACTGCTATTTTCTTTTTCTTTTGGATCTCTCATTCTTTATTCTGGTTTTTTGTAACCCTGGGATTCTATTAGAGAGCTATCAATAGCATTCCATTCGTCCGAATCACAACGTGCGACGAAAGAAAAAAGAAAAGTACGCCGAAAAACTGGATCACTAAAGGCGGAAAGGCGCACAGTACTTACCTCTCGCAAATATTTGCAAGGAGAGAATGGATTTGGCTTCGCCAACGACGTTGCGTGCCGTCACGGAGTAAACGCCTGTATCGTCCAAAGTGACTCTCGGAATCGTCAAGGAATACTCAAGACTGTCGGGCCCGCCGACGCGAACAAAATGACTTCCGTTCAAATAATAGTCCGGCTGAAAAAAAAGGGAAATCGGAACAAACAAATTAACGACCATGGACTTCCACTCCCCGCTAAGAACTTGATTGCACGGAAAACTCGTCAACCTACAATATACGGGTCGAAGATGAGGGCGAAACAATTGCGCCGTCGAAGAACCACACAATCTTTTCGCGATTCAATCATGCTCAATGGAAATCAGTCCCGAATTCACGAAAGGGGGTGTCCCTAACCTTTTAGACTGATAATGATAAATAATCAGGATTTTTTTCCTTCGTTCATAGTACAGCTAGGTACCTCCATATCCTGTGCGTCAGTGCTGTTCAATGTACAGTACAATAATTTTGTATAACTGAAAAAAAATGATCATCGAGTACATTTGCTATTCATGGATCCTTCATGACATTCATTCTTAAACATGGGGAAACTTGCATCAAGCTCTGTTTCTCATTCTTCATCAAAAAGGCTGGGTAAAGTGTAGAAAAATATAGATTAATTCATATTAATATTGCATACTGTTTCTTTGCACAATTAACTCAATCCGTTCCAAAAATCAACTCGAAGTATGCTTACAATGATAGACTTGAATGTATATTTATTCCGGAAGGAAAGTATTCCGTTTTCAGAAACATTCATTCAATTTTTTATCTTCGTGAACAGGAATGAAATGATGTTCACTAGCACCATTAAATAATCGTCCTCTGCAGTTAATAGTCAGAGTTAGACGCTTCGCCGGAAACAAGAGTCAGGCAGCTATTAAAAAAAAAAAAACAGGAATACCAGATAGATCCTGCCTTCCCATGTATTTCGTCCTCGAGAATAAATGCGTAATATTTAAGCTGATATATTTTCAACATTGTCGCTGTACTTGATTGCATGCATAAAAAAAAATCTGGAAAAAAATTGCTGCCCAAGGCACGTATTCCATACTCGAAGTTTTTAACGAAAAATTTTCGCTGTGAAGAGTGATCATCACGAGAGGACCCACTAAAGAATGGCGATCGTCGTCGATTATCGTAGGTCCCCAATGAGACTAAATTCTTATGCACCGTATTTTTCGAGTTTTTTTTTTCGGGAAGACAGACAATGCATGAGTTGGGCTTTAAAGGAGCACGAAGTTTGCAAATCGATTTTGACTGCCGTGACGGCGTGAGCGAAAGCAAGAAGTGCGTTCCCGACGTGAACCCATCGTCGCCATGTTGTTGGGAGGATTGTGTCATCCGTGGTCACGTGGACGCAGAAATAATTTGTTGGCCACCAGTCGTAAAGGGCCACTTCAGACGACACGCCGAGTGGAGCACGATCTGCTCCCACGCGAAAAATCTTCGGAGCAACGCGCGGTAGAATATGGCGCTCGTAAATCCAACGTCTTCGGAAACCATGTAGAAACATTTATGCCCGTTTTGCATTCGCGGAAGAGAGGTTTCCATCATTACGCTCGTAACAAGCCTGTCATTGTTCTCCCGTTATTCTCTTCATGAAATTTACGCGTTTCATTAATTTTCTTTCATATTCTTCTCATCGTCCTTTCTTCAGAATTGAAGCCCGAAAAAATTGGCCAAATGTGGTTGCAGCGGCAAAAAAAACCATACCTCGAGTGGCCGAAGTATGCTGGGTTTTATCCGAGCGTTTCAGGCAAAAGGCCAAATTTTAAAAATCGAATCCTAGATAGTGCTTAGATTGTAAGCGTATCCAAATCTCATTAGCTCGATCGTCTTTCAAAATCGTCATTCTTCCGCAAAAGTTATCAACATTATTCGCACGGGGACTTTTGTTTGATTAGAAGGTTTTTAAATCACGGGGTTCGGAAATCTACCTAACCATACATGCTTCAAATAAGTTTATAAACGAAACTTATTTGTCAAGTTTCTAAATGATACTAATGTTTCTAAAGAAACGAATCTTTCTAAAAGAAACTAATGTTTCTAAACGAAATAAATGTTTTTAAACGAAACTTAATTCACGCCCACATTGTGCAAAAGGTAATGTAGTACTCAACTTCTCCGCACAATTCCGATACACAGAAAAATATTTTATTATCATTAAACAATTAGATCTTTTTTGTGAGTAAAAACTTTCCCTGTAAAGCGTACATCTTGCATCAGCAGCTTCATTCGTTTCTGACTTCCATTTAGAACTGATAAGAACAGGTCGATAATCAGAAAACCCACTCGGATACGTGATTCAAAAAAATATAAATGATCTGAAACACAGTTCAGGAAATTGCCTGAAGACACAGCAGAAAGTCCAATGAAAATGATGGGGTTTTGAGACAGATTTAACAATTTGAAGACCACCATAATTGTTAATAACGAAAGGCAATTATTTCTTCGACTATTCCAGATTTGAATAGATCGGCCCAGTAGCAAAAGTGGAAGTTTTTTCGACGCGAAAAAATTCTGGACTGGGCACGAGGCCGGAGTAATGAGAGTGATTGGTCGGAAGCCGAAAGAAAGTCATCACATCATGCAATCCGTGATGATGAAAACGCGCATTATAGAGTTTCAGATCGGCTCATAACTTCCCCCCCATCAAAGAGCTCTCATGCCGCACAACCGCGATGAATCGATACCAGAGAATCTCGACAACGTACCGAAGCACTCAATAACGCCGAAGTTGTAATTGCTTCGTGCTCCCGTTGCCCGCGAGCAGAGCTGGTAAAGATCTCCTGATAACTGGCTTAAGGTTTCAGGCGGATTGAATTGGATGCAGCGATCCGACGATAGCGCCGACGGTTATGATCCGACTCGGTTCTTCCGCAGCACTGCTGGAGGCCAGCAATCGGCGCCGCTGAGCGGAGCCCGCTCGCATATTTGCATGCCGCGCGGTTTTTCTACATTCGCGGCTTTTGCTGCCCCGAGTCGACGTCTCATAGCCAGCCGTCACAGCTGCCCATCAGACGTGATGAACGGGATTTAAAGATTGCTCCTATAATTAAACATTTCAGCTGCACGTCAAGCAATCAGCGCGTTCCCCGCATCCCTCACTGTTGACGCGCGGATAAATTTTGAGTACACTTTTCGGCGTGGCGATCCGCGGGCCCATTTCGCTAAAACATGTTTTTAGCACTTTGATCGAAGGTCTTCTGCACCGCCTGCCGGAAATTTTTGGTGCAAACCTAATACATTGAATCGTAGAAGAAAATATCGAAATCCAAGTTATCTTTTTTAGCAAAACGAATCGTTACTGACTTATGGCTAAGAAAAATCCTTCTACGAATAAATAAACTGATCCTCTACAGCACTAAAGATATTTTCTGCATGACAAAGGCATTTTCGGTCAGCTCAAACTTGCTGCGGAGTAGGTCGACTATGTAAAGCTGAATCCAACTCGCTGGAAACACATGAACGTATGAGCGGATTCAACATTTCGTGTGAACAGATCTCGTTTTTATCTGACGCAATCGCTCATTGCGAGCTACGGTATAAAATTCGCTAATCGAAGCATCGAGCCTTCATCAGAAACACGTCTAAATCAACTTGGTTTTTTTAAATAAAATCCACTTGGAATCCGTGAATTAGACTCATTAGATGCGCCAGTTCCTCAAAGGAAACGTGCCTGCAAAGCGATCTCATCGAAAACAGCCGAAGCAAAATATTGTTTCAAACCCGCCACTGCCAGATTAAATTTGAAAATTATGGTCAGCACAAACGATCGTAATTATAAGTTTGGACGAGTCCCGCGATTTTTTTTCCACGAACGGCACAACTTCGCTCCTCGAACTTGCTTTTAACAAAGTGCTGTTTATGTGAGCGATTCGGAATCTAGTACCTCCGTAAAATAAATTAGGGCATAAAGAGCGGAACGAGGAATTGTCCGGTTGAAAATGTCTACGGCAACTCATTACTCTCAACACCACAACGCTTATCATCAACTTCGTCGGAAAATCCTTTTCTCCAGGAAATGATTATGACGCTCTCTGTCGCTTGAATGTAATGTACTTAAAACTTGATGATGCGACTAAAAATAAATTTACCTTTTAATGTTTTGTGGTTTCCATCAGGGACAATTAAGTTCGCCTGGTGTCTTGAATCCTCTACAAGGAGCAAAACACTAAGCAGCCACACATACAAAAAATGAATAACTGTTACGAGGAAGCACAGTCGGGGCATTCAATGACCTCGACAATCACGAGTTCAGGAGAATTTCGTAATTCAGACACGTCCTTCCGAGGAAATTCATCAATGATCGGCTCACCTGAGGCCAAATCGACCAAAGAGCACTATTTGATCATTACGGCAGTTCTCGTAGTGAACAGGGAACCACGACAAAACCATGTGAGGCAGTTCTCAGGATTCGTACGTGACTTCCCAGGCAAATGAGCCCTGGGTAAAGGTGCAGCCTCGAAGACCTGACCGTGAAGCAGAAAACCTTGTCCGACCGAATGCTTTCACCTCTCAGCTGGTGGAGTCACCCACCAGAAAATAGATAGAAAAATTCCAGTCCGTACAAAAAAAAAAGAAAAGAAAGAAAAAAACAACGTATGGCCTGAGATCAGAATCCCTCCCTTAAGAACGTAATTGAACATGGGAATAGGCTCAAGCACAAAACGTGGTTTTTAATGAGGGGAGCGCGGTTTTTACTAATTGAACGCTCTAAAACAAATGAAAAATGAAGGCATTGCCATGCAGGTGCAATATATCTTGAGCAAACTAACATGCAGTTCAGTTATGCGAACGATTGTTCACTATTTTGTACACGATTTCTTCTTTTGGTTTGAACACGTCGCCTACATATGCTGCGTAGGATTCCGAGCCACTGTTTTCAACCAAACTACAGTACTATCAATCTGATCCATTGATGTGTCATGTACAATGCAGTCAACCCTCGATTTAGTGCAACCCTCGCATAGTGCCATTCATTTCCCTGGTACAAACCTCCCTCCATTATGTTCTTAAGTGAAACTCGGATTTCGTGCCAACTCACTTATTGCCGCAACAAATATTTGCCCTGTTGGGCAGAATTGAAGTACTGTAATCAAGGCATTTTTACAAGGATATCATTGGATTATTTGAATTTTAACTGAGCCTCGTATCCCCATGCTCCCATTAAATTCAAAATAATTTTGAACAATATATTTTTAAAATCTGAATTACTGAAAAATATTTTTGTTGCATGATGCCCTCCTCCATTGAAAATATAAAAAATGGAAGTTATGTGGAAACATTGATGATTGTCTCATGTTGTCATATTCTATGAAACGAACTCAAATGTACACAAGCTCTTGAAGAACAGCTGTGATCTTTTACTAGACATCATATGTTAAAAAATCTAATACATTTGGCCTTGAAACACATGTTGAAATAAAATATTTATAAAGTTCCTTTGAGCTTCAAATTATTTTTTTTCCGTTTTCTCTTATAAAACACCCTGACTGGCCTAAAAATTCTGTAAACCAGCTCAGTTTTTTTATAACAAAACCCTAAATTAAACCTTTCTCCAAACAATACCCATGATTAAGTGCTACCCTTGCTTAGTGCCGCAAAATGTGCCAGGGAAATAAACAGAGGCACTAAATCGGGGTGCATTAAACTGTGTGAGCTTCAATTCACCTTGCACTCGCGGAGTTAATCCAGGTCCATACATTTCATCAGCCGATCTTCCCTGCACTTCAAGTCACTCATTCGAACGTGAGCCCAAAACACGAATGGATGCATCAGCATTTTAAAAATATTGCATTTCACCCAACTGGAAGACATCTTTTCACAAGCCAGCATTTTTTCATACGACACATGTCCAATGTCACTATCCAGCGAATAATTGCTCTATAGACTTCTGATCTCGTTACGCTAGTCTCATTCCGGATGCACCAAGGCGTCAAATTCAGTTCAACTTTATGCATGACATGTCTGCGGATGCTGCTTATTCGGAAAATCAAGTGTAGAATAGTTCTCCAGTTTCAGTATACGAGCAGACACCGACACCTCGTCGAAGTCTCAACATGGGCGTTCACTTGAAAAGACTGCAGGACAACTCGAATTTTCGAATATAGGCTGGAAGGTCTGTGCTCTGCGATGAAAGACACGTGGTTGAAATTTTACGAGCGTTCGTCGCTCAGTCATGTTATACAGCATGTTTTTTAGTCATAATTTCAGTTTAAATTCATGATTCTCGGGGGAATTTCATATAACAATTAATACGCGCTTTGGATTATTGGATCAAAACACATGGATGAGAAAATGTTTTATTTACAGTAATTTAATTTCCGTTGGCTCCAGAAATGATTCACAGTGCGTATTGAGCTTGTTCATTCAAAAATATGCTTTTAGGGAAATAATCAATTGGATGCACCAATTAGACGCGACGGCAAGAATTTACGATTTGCGTACATACGTAGAGCATCATTACTAAATGCAGTATATATATTCTACTTGCGTTTATTTTATCGATAG